GCCAGAGAGAGAAGCTCCCAAAGGAGGGCCTCTGGCTAAGGAGGCCACGGAGAACCCAAGGGAGGGGCCATGAGTATATCCTCAGGGCAACGACATGAAGTCCAAAGTTTTGGGTCACCAAGCTAGCTGCAGGGGATAGGAAGTTTCTAGAGGGGACCATATGGGATTCAGACTCATCCTGGAGGTGACCGGAGTGAGGCAAGGAAGGGTCTGAGCTGATGTCTCCTGAGGGCTGGTCATGCAGAGCGACCTCGGGGTAGGGACAGAGGCCACCAGGAGCACCCAGGTCTTTGCAGAGCCCCTAGGAAGGAGGTCACATAGGGCAGAGACAGGTATGGGGACTTGGGAGGTCTTTGGGTGATGTTTGGAGCTGAGGGAATCTCCACATTCAACAGGGACGGAAGGGAGGCGCCCGTGACCAGGCCTACCTGCCCATCCCCCTCTGGCATCCCAGCTCACACAATCCATGTGGCCCTTCTCCCATTCCCTCTCTGCCTGCTAGCCTTGTCACGAAACTGCTGAGCACAGAAATATTTGGTGTTGATACTGCTTTGGAATGGGACTTTGCTATGTAACCCAGGCTGACCTTGAACTCCTAGCACTGCTCCTGCCTCCACCTCCGCCTCCCAAGAGATCTCAAATGAGTAGCACCACACGAATGGCTGAGCATTCTCAGTCTTTGATGGGATGTTTCTCGCAGCAACTGAGGAGGCAGAGAAGCCTAGTGTGTAAGAAAAACCTGGTGGGTTCTGCAGCTAAGTGGCTGGGGTTCAGATCCCACCTCTGCCATTTACTGGCTGGGCAACCTTGGGCATGCAGCATAACCTCTTTGTGCTACATTCTCTGTCTGATGAAGTGATCCCCAGGAGGTAGAGGGGTCAATGAGCTAATGCCCATCACACAGCAAATGCTCCACGTACTTTGTTTGACAGATACCACAGGCGGGAGACAAGCTTACGAGTCCGGTTGGTATGAATGGAGATGACATGGACTCCACATGCAGCAAGCTAAGGGACATGTGAGTGCCCCATCGGAGCTGCCCTAAGTCCTGGCACAGATGTCCAGCTGGGGCAGTGCTAGCCAGTGGCATCCTGGTAAAAACACCTGCAGCTCTGTTTATGAGGCTGTTGGGAGGGGAACATGTAGGAAAAGGGTCCTGAGTGATTCAGAGTCTCCGGAACCCAGATGTGGCATCGGCCTTCTGGACCAGTTGCCCCGGGGGCCACCTGGATACCTTCTCTTTGCTTTGATTCCATGTCTTCCCTGCCTTTTCCCCTCACATGCTGGCAAGTTCAGCTCCAGCTGAGAGCCTCTATTTTGGGGAGTTCTCTTGGATAATTTAGTGGGCGGAAGCTCCCCACCCACCCCCCTCAGAGCGCCCCCTCAGCAAAGGGGGGTACTCCGCAGAAGTGAAAAACAGTGGGTGGTTCAGTTCAAAAGGACAAAATATTTCTTGCTCTGGCAGTGAGAGAGGAAAGAAATTGTCTGAGGAACTCAAGAAGAGCTTTGGAGGGGGCCTAAAGCTGCGGCTCATGAGGGCACGTTGGGTGACTCAGCTGTTAGGCCCCGGCTCCAGCCTGGTAGTATTAATTGGTCTTTAAAAAGGGAAAAACGCTTAACTGTGACAAAGAGTGAGGGCCATAAAAACGTGGCTAATGCTGATTCTACCAAGTTCCAGAAGGCGTCCCCCACTCCGGCAGCTCCAGGCACCTGTGGAGATGGGGACTCGCCTCCAAGGCCTGAGCTTGGGTGGGACCCGAGTCTAAAATTATCCCCGATAATGAGTCGGCCAGAGGAGGCCCAGAATGCTGGTTTCCTGCTAGCCTCGGAGGCGGAGGTTCCCAGGGAGGCCTCGGGAGGCAGTGGCTGCTGAGCCAAGAACATGGCTTCACCGCTGCCAGAGTTGGGGTCACCTTGGGGCCGGCTGTGTGAACATAGGCTCTTGGAGTCTTGATGCACTCATGTGTAAGTGGGGCTCACAACACCGTGGGTGGGAACAATAAAGGAACTAGATATTTCTTTTCTTTTCTTTTCTTTCTTTTCTTTTTAAGGGCTTTGGATGTGTGATGTGTGTGGTAGCCCACACCTGTAATCTCAGGTCTCAAAGATGTAGAGACTTGAGGATTCTGTTTGAAACCAGCCTGGGCTAGGATGACCCTGTCTTAAAAAGCTGAGATAAAGGAATAAAAAGAAAAGGAAGCAGGGTGAGTGAGACAGCCTGGGGGATGATGGTGCTTGCTGCCAAGGCTGACAACCTGAGTTCAGTCCTGGGACTCACACGACGGAAGAAGAGAACTGACTCCCACAAGTTGTCCTCTGACCTGCATGTGTTTGCCATGGCATGTCACATTGGTGCACATACCCAAATAAATAAATGTAGTAAAATAAAATGAATGAGATTAAGTGCCAAGGGTAGAACCCAGGGCCTCCTGAATGCCAGGCAAGAACTCCACCTCTGGCTAAGGACCCCATCTCACAAGAGGCTTCTTCGCTTGCTGGCCTGGCTCACTCTCAGGAAGAGTGGCCTAGAGGTGACACAAGAAGACACTCAGACAAGCCCAGTCCTTGCTTAGTCACCACTCACGCCTGGACTATGGGAAGGCTTCATTATTTTTTAAAGATAGGTATTTCTAGCGTTTATTATACACCTGACTGTCCTTAGCACTTCCATTAAACATGTTCGTTTGATTCTTGGCTCAGCTCTGGGTGGGAACATGATGATGAGGCAGCCCAAGCCGTGTGCGACCTTTCCGATTGTCTGAGCCGTGCTGCCCAAGAGAGCTTTCTGGAAGGAAGAATGGATGTTTCTAATGCTTTGCTGTCTGATGCAGGAAGCCGTCAGCCACCTGTGGCTTTTGAGCACCTGATGCGGCTCGTGTGATCAAAGAACTGACTTTGGCATACTATTTAATCATTAATTGCTTTCGTCTTAGGCACATGTGGCTGGTGGCTGCCATGTTGGCCCATGCAGCACTGGCTGTACCCGGCTTCTGTGTATGACTTTGCAGGAGAGGTGTGAGCGGGATTTAGAGCTGACCTCCATCTAAGGCCTGGTGCATTGTAGGTGCTGAGTTAGGGGAGGTGTTCACACATAATGTACCTGTCTGTGGGAGCTACGATTGGTTAGAGGCAAGAAGAAATGGAGTCTCACTCACGTGTATGATGGCCAGTGGGTCCCAATCTGCCCCAGACTTTCTCTACTTTAACCCTGAGAGTCCGGCAGCCCGAGGCCCCTTGGTTGGATGTCCTGTTCCTGTTGTGGGTGATGGTTATGGAGGCCTCAGGAACGGGGCCTCCTCTACAGCTCTGAGCAGATCCCCTGCACCATGCACACACACACTAGTGTGCATCGACTAAAGTAGTGCCTTTTCAAGTCATCTCGAAAATGCACGCTTACAGGGCGGCTGCAAGGAAGCGGGGAGCTCTGGGATCTGATTTATCTGGAAGGCAGCACACTCTCCTTACCTTGAGTTTTTGGGGGGCACATAGTGGGTAGACAGACATGACTGTTCTTTGAGACTGGGACACCACTACTTAAGCTGTGCTGCTATGTCCAGCAGGGTGCGGGCAGACTGCAGAGAGTCCCCCATGTGGGAGTGAGGCTGGGCTTTCTCAGGCAGGGTTGGTGGTCACTCTGGAAGCTGCCTGGGGTTGGGGAGCCACTGTGGGCGATGCATGGAAAACAAAGTGGTCCCATGGGTGGAGTCAGCCCCTCCCCATCAGTATCTCTTGAAGTTCAAGACTCTTGTGGGAGGGTTGATGAGTCACTAGCCTTGGGTGCTCCCATGCCTTTATCTGAGCCCACAACAGCATGTCCGATGTGCCTTTCAAAGCTGGCTTTATCTCTGAGCCCAGAATTCCCATGGTGCATGCAGGTGGAGAAGCAAACTAGCTGAAACCTAGCCCAGACGTCTTGTGGACTGTAGTCCACCCGGCTCCTCCCAGCTGTGGTCCACAGGTGGGAGCCACGTGTGCCATCCCACACATCTGTCTCTGAGGCTGCAGAGGTCCTGACATCCCTCCCCTTTATTTTCCTGTTTATGCTCAGCATGTGTAAACACATGTGTTGCCTGGTTTCGGCTACTCTTCGACCATCTCGTTATTGCTGGACCCTCCGAGCAATACTGGAAACCTTGGATTTTCTAAATGAATCTAAAAATAAACTCCTTGAGGGAAAAAAAAAATCTTGGACAGTTGGCACAGCCACCATTATTTATTTCCTTTCCTTCCTCTTCCTGCTCCTCTGCATCCCTGAACACTCAAGAATCTGGGCAGTCAGAGGCATTGAGGGCCTAAGAAGGTCCCCCTGGGCAAGTGTCCAAGGGCTCCTGGACAACCCGGGGGTGCTGGCTGGAACCCTGGGCAGCTTTCTCCAAGGGGCACCCGCTCGGAAAGTGGGGTGTCAGGAGGCTGGATTCAGGCAAGGCTGCAGGGGGAGGCGGTGGCTGTCTGCGAGCTTGCACGCAGCTCCTGCAGGGCCTGGCGGGCCGCGCCCCCACCCCTGCGCGCCTCCCTCTCCTGACTTTTTCTCTGCCCCGAACAATCAGGGACTTGTGCTTGGCGGCCAAAGGAGCCACGGAGCTGGCTGGCCGCGGAGGAGGCGACGTCATGGATTCCTGAGTGTGAAGTTTTCAGGAAAGCCCTTAGTTTTGGAGATGGACGGGATCCAGGGGTTTCCATGGCGCTGAGTAAACAGGAGGAAACAGTGAGGGAATCCCGTTATTTTACTGCATTGAAAGCCTATAAACACGGAGCGCGGGGAAGGAAGTCGCGTTGCCGCTGGAGTAAGCGACCGCGGAGCGCCAGAAGCCCGGGGAGCCTGAGCCTGAGCCCGGAGCACGACAGCGGGAGCACGGAGAGCCAGAGTAGGAGCACAGGAGCGGGAGCACGGAGAGCCAGAGCTCCGGAGCGGAGCCTGGGCGCTGCAGCCTCTGTGCCTCTGAACCGCTCCGCCGGATCGAAGCACCGGGTCCCCAGCCTGCTGAGCCCAGCGCCTCCAGATGCAGCGCCCCGCATTGCGCAGGCCGGGCCCCCGCCAGCCCCTCCGCACTATGGGGTCTGCAGACCGAGGTAACTGCGCCACGGCCCTCTGCATCCCTGCCCGCATTCCTGACATCCCTGTTCGCATCCCTGCTGGCATCCTTGCATCGCATCCCCGCTCCAGCTCCGCTGCCCCTACCCCGGGACCCCCTGCTGTCCCTGCTCGCAGGTAGATGCGTAGACGCAGGCGATCAGGGGCGCACGCGCGCGTCCTGGCTGCGGATGGTAACTCTAGGAAGCGTCCCCAGGCGGGATTCCCTGTGTTTGTGTGTGTGTCTTCAGACACCGTTAGGGGGGTCTCGCTGCTAACCACTGGCTTCTTATCTTGCTGCTCAGCTTTGACAGCAGAGGCCATCGTCTTTGTCATCGTTATTTAACTTAAAAAAAATAAATAAAAAACAGGCTTGACATTTTGCTATTCACTAATACAGAAAGACGACTTTCCAGTAGTCATATCAACCGATGCTTTGGGCCATTCAAGGCATTTACGCCATCCCCCCCCTTTCTGGGGATGTGTCTGAGGGCTCTTCCAGCTCCCCCACCCCAATTTAAAGTACGAAGTATCATCAGCTTGTTCTGCCAAAGGGATCATAGAAGCCCCACTGTCCCCGTTTCTGCTCCGTGTTCTTCCTTTCAGATGTAACCTTGAAGCCATTCTATTTGGCTCTTTCGGGAGGGAGTTAATGCACGAGAATACGATATGAAATCTAGCCCATCTGGTTGGGATTGTGAGGGGCTTGGGCTGCGGAGTCAGAAATCAAGAGTTTAAAGTAGAAGCCGTTGGATGGCTTTCTCTGAGGTCAGCTTGTGTGCAGGGACAGGGGCACCGCCAAATGGGAAGGGCTGAAGGGTTAAGCGGAATACGTTTGGTTGGCGTAGGAGGAGTTAGCCTCGTGTCATAAAATCCGAGTTGAATGTAGGTTTTGTGCTCTGCTTGGTGGACTGAAGTCCTGGGGGGCGCGGCGGGGTGGATGCAATGGCAATTTTGGCAAGTGAGCTTGAGGGGGCTCTTACTAAAAGCCAGATCCCAGCCCACCCCCTTAGGTGAAAGGGGCTTTAGCCACCTCCAACCTCAGCATATTTTTAGTGGGGAGGGACGTTTGAAAGCCAGATTCTGCCAACGCTTGGGACCTTTTCGCTGGTACCAGTTTATCCTGTTCTCTGCTAGTGGCCAAGTGGCGGTGGTGCAATGACATAATGACAACGGGAAAAAATGCTAATATTCTGTCAGATGTCAGAGTGATGCTCCCAGGCAGGCCATACGTATGTGAAGGTTATGGAATGGTTTTCACTGCAGAACAAACCAAAACTAAGACATGGGTGCTCTGACAGTGGGGGTGGGGAGGCCAGACAGATGCCAGATTTAGCTCCATGATGGAGGGAGAGAGGAACACAGTGAGAACTCAGAGGAGAAATCTGGCTTCTGTTTTTGCCTTACTGTGGCTGCTGGGTCCCTCTGCTCTGGGCTGAGAACGCTGCTTCTCTGCTAAGGTCTGGACATATGCGTGCCTTGTCCCACTTCCGGTCTGGGTTCAAGTGTACGGGGGCAGCGGGCACATGTACACCAGTGTGCTTGCATATGCAGGACACAGGGCACCAGATCGCTCCTGGCCAACATGCCATAGCAACAAGGCACACAGAAAACAGCTCCAGGCACCACAGACAGCTGCCTTCAGATAGGCCAATCACTGTGTCCTGCATAGGGGTCTCCAGAGTAAATAGCTAGGGTGTCATTAAACTCAATTGCCCACTGGATGAGACTTCCAGATTCCCAGGGACATGCTGCTGGGCGATCCCGAAGCAAAGGATAGAATACTTGCTCTACAGCCTTGGCCGGAAGCCCCAGGGGAGCTTAAAGATGTGAAAGAGGTGTGTTCAGGGTTATCTGGAAGGTGACGGAAAGTATTTTAGGAATAAACAAACTTGAGATGAGCTTTGCTCCCTCCCAGGCTCCAGTTGCCTGACTTCTTCGTGGGCTGGGATATCTGCTTAGCTACATCACAGCTGTGGGATAGCACATAAGTAACTAACGTAGGCAACATTTCTGTGTCTTGATTGAGGGTCTAAGGCGGCCTCTCTGACAGGGTGGTTGTGGGAGTCAACAAACCCCGACCACAGTGTCTTTCTCATCACGGGTGTTCTGTAAAAGTTAGCTGCTGCCATTCCTGTACTATTAAAGATAGAAACTAATAAATGATATTGTATAAGAAACTGAACATCAGCAAAAATTCTTGGAATACAAGTTTTTTTAGGTCACACCCAGTCCCCTTCTTTTGAAACAGGGACTCATGTAGCCCAGGTTAGCCTCAAACTCATTATGTACTGAGGATGACCTTGAGCTTCTGATCCTTCTGCCTTTACCTCCAGAGTGCTGGGGTTACAGATATGAGTTACCATGCCCCGGATATGAGACAGAACTCAGAGCTTCGTGCATGCCAGGCAATGTCTTCATTGACTGAACTACATCCCCAGTTCCCTAGACATCTTAAGGTAATTTTTAAACTTACCGGAGCTTTGTGATGACACAGATTGGGTTAAGAGGGTGACTTCAGAAGCCTCAATTTCCTCATTTGCAAAAAATGAACGACAGTATACTCTCCGTAGGGTCGTCACGCACGTCACACGAAACCATGCATATAAAAGACTTAGCTCTGTTTAGCATGCGGTGAGTGCACACACAGTGTTGGTGTCTGATGGCTGGAGACAGCAAGGCCAGCTTTGCCAAAAGTCACATACATAAGGAAAAGCATAGGGCTTGGCCCTGGATGAGCCACCGCTGTCCCTGTTGACTTTGTGTTGACTCAGGGCTGTCTGGGGCTGACTGTTTTAGAAGTACATCTTTTCCTTCTCTCTGAGACTGTGTTTGAAGGGTAACGCACTCTCCCTCCGTGGAGGAGGGCAGCAGCTGGCCAAGGGTTACCCAGGAAGAAAGCAGCAGACTCAGGCTGAACAACAGGCTCAGCTGTCTGGATGCTTGCTGACGTCACCCAATGTTCTGAACTGACATAACTTAGACCTCGGCCCTAGGCTCTTTCTCCAACCCCAAGATGCTCTCTGACACATCTTGGAAGGGGAGAATGAAGAAGGCATGCTCCTCGCCAGAGATGGGGAAACTGAGGTAGGCAGAGACGGTGCCTAGCCTAACTTTGCCTCATTGTAGGACAGACAATAAAAGGACATTTCCACTGCCATTAGAAGGGGGTGGCCTGCAAAGAGCCTCAGAACAGAGAGCTGTGAAGGCCCCTCCCTGCCTATCCCCCCAGGGCTCCCCAAGCAGCCCAACCTGCAGGGAGCCTTCTAAGTCCATGTTTTCCCACAGCACCAAGTTGCTGCGGAGGTAAGTGCTCCAGTGCAGATGGGAATTTTCTGAAGCTCTTTTCTCACCTTGGCTGTAAGCCCTTGGAAGACAGGAGTCAGGCCTTTTACTCTGTGAGTCTCTAGGGGGTCCAGATACTCTGGAGGCCAACAGCCCGAGTGCTGGTCCCAGAGTCCAATCCGCCTCTGCTACCTGAAAGCTTTGTGACCTTGTGCAAGGAACCGCCCTTTCCTGTGCCTCAGTTTCCCTACAGTTAAGGGAGTGGTAGTGTGTTTTCAGCTGAGTAGTATTTAGAACAGCTGCCCTGGGATGGAGAGATAGTTTAGTGTGTAAAGAGCTGTAGTCAGATTTTTCTTTGGGCAACCAGCTCAGGGATAACAACATGGAGACTTGTTATTAATTATGAAAGCTCGCCTTGGCTTAGGCTTGTCCCACTAACTCTTATAACAAATTAACCTGCTTCTTTATTAATCTATGCTTTACCAATGCTTTATTTCATTCTGCATGTCTGATTTCCTCCATGTCTCTCTCAGTGGTATCTCCTCTGCTCCTCCATTATCTCCTTCTACCTACTCTCTCTGCCCAGAAATCCTGCCTATTCCTCCTGCCTAGCTACTGGCCATTCAGCCTTTTATTACACCAGTCACAGTGACTATATCTTCACACAGTGTAGAAATAGCCATTCAGCCTTTTATTACACCAGTCCCAGCGAATATATCTTCACATAGTGCAGAAATATCCCACAACAAAGAACTTGCTGTGCAAGCATGGAGATCCAAGCCTGGATTTCTAGCACTCACTCACATATAAAAGTTGGGGACACAGGCACATGCATGCCTGGAACCCTAGTGTCAGGGAGGGTGGAGCCAGGTGGACCCTGGCCAGCCAGTCTAGCCAAAACCATAGGCTCAGGGTCACTGAGAGGCCCTGTCTCAAAAAGTCAGGTGGGGAGTGACTGAAGAAGACACCTTAGGGCCCTCACTTGCACACACACAACCAAGTACACCAACACACACGCACACACACACTCATAACACAATCTCACACTCTTACACACTCTCACACACTCACACACTCACACACACTCACACAAACACAATCTCATACTCTCATACAGTCACACACAGTCACACACTCACATGCTCACACACTCACACATAATCTCATACTCACACACACACACTCTTGCATACACACAGACACACACTCAAACATATTCACACATAACCTCACACTTACACACATTCTCACTCACACACACACTCAAACATATTCACACATACACACATCTCTCTCTCTCTCTCTCACACACACACATGCACACATGCACAATCATATACTCACAGATCCTAAGCCGCTAACCTGTCCATTTCCTGTTAAAATTGCAGGGCATGGAGCCAGTGGGCAAGAGTCTGCCCTTGTAAGAAAGGAGTGTACTCTGGGGCAGGTGCATGCCTGCCTGCCCATGTGTGTACACATGTTTGCATGCATGTGTACATGTGTACATGTGAATGCATATATGTGAGCACATGTGCAGTGTGTACATGTGTGTTGTAGTCGGTTAGGCCAGCTCCTGTGACTAGTGTAAGTCATCATGAAGCCCCTGCACTGTGGTGAGGGTCAGCAGTTGGGAGTTGGGTGCTTCAGGCCCATGCTCCCTGAAGGCTCAGCACAGACCTTGCTTGTCTCCTCTGGTGTCTCCTGGCTGGGCAGT